AGTAGTTTTTAATTTGAATACTGATTACATGGGAGTGTTGATTTTATGAAAATTTAACAAGCTGTATATTTATTAAATGCATACTTTTGTTTTTGTATATTATGCCGCAATTACAATTTTATTTTAATCCCTTTATAAGATTCAAATGATGTTTTCCAAGATTAAATTGCTATTGTTCCAAGCTATTCTCCTTAATTCTCTGCATTTTTAATACTCTGCATTAGTTTTTTGGTTGCTTTCACAGAATACTAAGTTGATTAACAGGCATTGTTAATAGGTGGGAACAGAAGTACCATCTTGGTGAGTTACCTTTGATCTCTGGATAGTTGCTCTTCAGTCTCTTAATAATTGTTGTGTCACTTGTTGGATCCCTCAAGTATGTCTGGACCCACTCCATTCACTTCATTCATATGGAAATTTCCAGAAATACCACTTCTTTTAGAACCACTAACAGCTTCTGTTTCCTGTTTTAAAATATCTTAAAATTTACTTTAATTGAATGGTGTCTAGAGAGAGACAGATGTAAACTTGGGAGACCCAGGAAGTGAGGAATAACTTAGGGAAGAAGGAAAAACATTCCTTATATTCCAAATTTAAAATAGAACAATATGAATAAGTACAAATATATACTTTTGATTTTTCAAGTAATATATTACCTTTAGTTGAGAAGTGACTTTAATGTGTTACCTAATTGAAACCTTTACCAAAAATACAGTAGTGTATATACGCGTTTATTTTTAATCCTCACCTGAGGACATTTTTCCATTTATCTTTAGATGGGGGGGGCGGGGGGAGAGAGAATCATCAATGTGAGAAAACACATTGATTGGTTGCCTACCACACCACCCTGACTAGGGTTGGGGACCAAATCACAATCGAGGTACATCGCCCTTGACTGGAATCAAACCCGTGACTCTTTGGTCCATGGGCCAACACTCAAACCACTGAGCCAAACTCGCCAGGGCTGAGGTTTGTTTGTTTGTTTGTTTTTTAATCCCTGTACTTGGGATGGTGTGGAGAGACTGGATTTCACTTACAGCATCCATGGTATCTTTTTATATACAGTCACCACTGCCGTTAGTCTCCGATGTGATCAGTGCAGGGGAGAAGTGCAATGATTTTTCGGAGTCAGAACCTAACCGACAATATGCTCCATTGTTCTTAAAAGAAATTCTGCCTTAAAAAACAAAAGGTAAGGTACGTACATCCTAAAAAACAATTCAAATGAAGCACTCTCACTCCCAAGCATTAACCATTCTTAACTGTTTGCTATGAATATAGTATTTCCTTAATTGTTTATAAACACACATGTGAATGTATATTCAGATTGCTCTTTTTACCATTTATTTTACAAAATAAAATTATACTATGCATGATGCTCTGCAGCTTGCTATCTTCTCCCCAAAAGATCTCAGACTTACTTCCAAGTCAGTTCATGTAAATCAGCCTCCTTCTTGCTGATGGCTGCCTAGTATGCATGGTAAGGATCTACAATCAAGTTTTTAACTCCATTGTTAGACATCTAGGTTGTCAACTTTTCACTTTCACAAATATTGTAAATATTTATTAATGAGCTTTCTTTGTTCATATATTTTTGTAAACATGGGCCAATATTTTAGCACACCAAATTCTTACAAATGGCCTTGTCGAATCAGAGAACATTGTATTTAAAATTTTGTGTATAGGGCCAAATTTCCCTCTAAAACCTTTGTACAGTAGTCACCCATTATCTGGGGTTTTGCTTTCTGCAATTTCAGTTACCCAAATCAACCGAAGTCTAAAAATATTAAATGGAAAATTCCAGAAATAAACAGTTCATAAGTTTTAAATTGCACACGCTTCTGCGTAGCATGATGAAATCTCTCGCTGTCCTGCTCTGTTGTGTTTGAGACATGAATCATCCTTTTGTCCAGTGTTTCCATGCTGTGTACACTACCCGCCCATTAGTCACTTAGTAGCTGTCTTGGTTATCAGATCAACTGTCATGGTATCGAAGTGCCTGTGTTCAAGTAACCCTTATAATAATGGCCTAACACTATGTCACAGTGCCTACACTATTCACCTCACTTCATCTCATCACGGAGGCACTGTATCATCTCACATCATCACAAGAGAAAGGATGAGTACAGTCCAATATTTTGAGAGGTAGAGACCACATTCACATAATTTTTATTACAGTATATTGCTATAATTGTTTGTTAGTTATTGTTAATATTTTACTCTGCCTAATTTATAAAATAACTTTATCATACGTATGTATATGTAGGAAAAAACTATATATAGGGTTCAGTACTATCTGCTGTTTCAGGCATCTATGGAGGCCTTGAAGCGTATGCCCTATAGATAACTGGACACTGTACTAAATTCCCTTCCCACAAATATAGATATAAGTGTCCAAACCACACCCTTGTGGTGGTGCTTTCTTATCTGGCTCTCCACTTTCATACAGGTGATCCATTTTCAATCATTCATGAATTATAATGGCCTTTGTTTTGATGAACATTGTAGTTTGAATCTTACTGGTACTGCAAAGGGCCAAGTTTTGCGTGGTCAGTTAATGAAGTTTCTGTAATCTATTTATTCTTTTAACATGTTGGTGATTATCTTTCAGGTCTAGAGTCTTTTATTGCTTTTTAAATAACAACAAGCAAAGATGTTCATCTAACTTGATCACAAATGACTTTATTTCAAGGCTTGGGTCCTTCCATAAATCATTATTTATGGATTCCCCAGATCATGTCATTGGTTGGAGGGCAACATGTGATGCATGAAAAACGCCATCATTCTCTTTTACTACTATCTGTTTCAGCACAAAACCTCCACAGTGCAATAGCTTGGTTGTCAGTATCATTGTGTATTGATTTTTTAGTTATTTAACTCACAGGGGGTACAGCTTCAGCTGGACCATTTACTCTCCAAACCTTTTATTTTATTACATATTCAAAAATCTATATCCCTCAACTGTCTTGGATACTTCATATTTCAGCCCTGGAATTCTGATCCTAGGGCTTTATGAATTTACATCACTTTGGGTGTGGCAGCAGCTTCTAGGTGATTTTGAGAAAGCTAAATCTCTGCCAGAAACTTAAAAACTTATAAAATTTCTATATTCGTCTTGATTTTAGTTTGAAAAACACACTACTGTGACATAGGTATAATTGCATTTGTTGTTGTCATCAAATAAATGCTCTATTTGAGTTGGAGATAGGTCAGTTTGGGGAGGAGCAGGCAGCAGTATATGGAGGCACCCAAGCTTCGAGCTGAATGCCCCCAGTTTGAGTGCCTCTTTCAGCATGAAGGGAAATTGCAAGCTTCTGTTCCTCTCCAGAAGATTTCCAGTCTCAGCTGGTGAAATATCAGACAGCCTATGAGATCAGAGTGTGCAGTACTCTGAAGAGCTTAGATAAGGTTGTCAGCCATCTGGTTTGCCTGGACAGGACTGTCCCAGTTTTAGCACTAAAGTCCTGCATTCAGGAAAAACCCTTAATTTCTGGAAAACCCAGAGGATTGGTCGCCCTAGCAGAGCAAAGCGACTCAGCTACATCTATCACTTTGTCACTATGACAAAGTGGTTTTATTTTTATTTTTTTTATTATTATTATTTTAATCCTCACTAGAGGACATTTTTTTACATTAATCTTCAGGTAGAGCTGGAGGAAGGGAGAGAGAGAGAAACATCGATGTGAGAGAGGCATATTGGTTGGTTGCCACCCACACAACTCCAACGGGGGCCCTGGATGAACCGCAACCAAACTGCAACCAAAGTATGTGCCCTTGGCCGGAATCGAACCCAGGACTCATTGGTTTGTGGGCGACGCTCTTACCGCTGAGCCATACCAGCCTGGGCAACAAAGTGGTTTTAAAAATTATGGCACATTTTGCCCTGGCTGGTTTTGCTCAGCGGTTGGAGCATCGGCCTGCGGTCCAGAGACACCTGGGTTCAATTTCTGCTAGGGGCATGTACCTCGGTTGCAGTTTGTCCCCGGCCCTGGTTGGTCGTGTGGGTGGCAGCCACTCGATGTTTCTCTTTCACGTCGATGTTTCTTTCTTTCTCTCTCTCTCCCCCCCCCCCACTCTACCTGAACAAAAAATGGAAAAATGTCCTCGCGTGAGGATAAAAAAAAAATTATGGCACATTTTAATATCTATATATAACAAATGAACCCATTTTAAAACACTACAAATGTACAATTCATTATACCTGGGTTATTCACAAGATAATTTCAAATTTTTTCACAATATTAATTTACACATAGCAGTTCAGTAGTGGCACAAGTCAAAAAGTGTAAAGTGGACATCTTCCTACATTTTTTTTTTAAGAAAACATGATTTTAAATATTCTTATTTATTTCTAAATGTCAGGGTTATCAGACTTGAAAACACTTTAAAACAAGTCCCTGACACTCTCCAGATTTTTCTTGGTGACCTTGATATCCACTTAACCATATCTTGCAACTAAAAGGGCACATAAATAGCCTCATAGAGTTGACATGTCTAAATTCTAAATGTAAGGCCCTCTTGAATGCCAGGCCTGGGCCATGATAAGCTCTGAGCAGGTGGGGGTGGTGTAGTCAGTGGTCATCTCACCAGTAAAGAGGCAAAATGCAAGAGGCTCGGGAGGGTAGATGATGAAGGGCAAAGTAGACCTGCCCCTGCTGCAGACATTAGGAGGACACTGAAGAGAATTTTAATACAATAATAACACTGACTGAAAAATTATCTGCTTTTGATTATCACTGCTCGTTGACAATTCTAATAAACGTCAATGATAAAATACTCCTCCCTGAAAAAAATATATTGTTAGTCTAGCATTCTAAACAATACCAATGATGACTGTTGTTTTAAGGCGGTACAGGTAAGGTAAGCTTTGAATGAGCACATTTGTTTATCACTTATACTTTGGTAAGCATCATCCTGTTTGTGGAAGCTAACTTGGAGAACTGTCAGTGACACAGTTGGCCCTGCTACACTCAGCCATTCTTTTTTTCTTTTTTCTAAAATGGGAGAGCACGAACGTAGTCCTCCACTACCACAAACTGTGCTATCCAATTTTCCGTATTTGGGGAAATCGCAGAGGTCAGCACATCCTGAGTGCAATGGATAAGCCTCACCCTGGGAAAACGAACTTCCTTCGTGATCATGGTACCTCCCCCGCCTGGTAAGCGTGCGCTTTTGTTTCGAGATTAACTTCAAACCCTTCAGGATTGTCTGAGCTCTTTGGCACAGTGTGCCTCCAGCACTTGTGATAGGACATCTTCCTGCATTTAGACAGTAGATTTGACATAGGCGATGATGGCACACAGTTGTCAAGATGATGAAATACAGCCCGAGTTACTTCACTTCCATCTTTCCTTGAGAGCTCTGAGAGTTTTTACTTGTATTTAAAATGAAAAACAGTGAAATAACATGTCAATTTTGATATATGTCTCAAAAATATATTGAGCCCTGGCCAGTTTGGCTCAGCGGTTAGAACGTCAGCCTGTGGACCAGAGAGTCCCGGGTTCAGTTCCCACTAAGGGCACGTACCTCCGTTGCAGGCCCCGTTGGGGTCGTGCGGGTGGCAACTAGTCGATGGGTTCTCTCACGTCCATATTTCTCTCTCTTCCTTCCTCTCTCCCTCCCACTCTATTTGAAGATAAATGCAAAAAATGTCCTTGGTGAGGATTAAAAAAGAAAAATAAATTTAAAAAATATGTGTATATATATATATATATATACTGAGATATAATTTTTTGCCAGTAAGTGCAAATTTTAGTTCATACATGAAATATCTTTAAAATTTGTATTAGTACTTTTTAAATAGTTGTTATAAAATTAGGGAACAAATCAAGAAAATTATTATTACTGATTATTACACTAACTAGTTTTGTCATATATCAGATAAGGATGTCTTAAATATGTTAGTATTTACATGTATCTGCTTTAACATTATGTTTTTGTCTTTTGTTTATAAGTCAAGGGACTTGCTCAGGATCATACAATTAGAAACTAACTCAGCAGAAACTTAACCTCTGTTCTGACTCTGACGTCAGCACTTCTCACAACCACACAATCCTCTTTCAGCATCTGTTCTCGCTCATTTTTCAACTGTAATTCAAAGTCTTAAAGATCTGGGTCTAGAAGTTCAGCTGCAAAAGAATCTATTTTTTAAAAAGCCAAATATCTTTCATGTGCAAAATTTATTTTACATGAAAGTAGTCATGGTTGACTATTTCTCTTTTTTCCAAGTATAAATTAAGGTTTATGAGACCTTCCAGATAGCTCCTCTGTGAACTGTGGGCCTCCTTTGGAATGCCCTTCAGTGAGTACATAGCAGAGCCTGCTGTGAGCTAGACCAGAATCAGGAATTTTCAGGGGTTAGTCCCTTATCCCTGCAGGCTTATGGGTGAGGTGAGACCCACACCGGGAATAATCTCAAGAGTTAACAGCAGTGGTTGGGGAGAGACCTGTAGAAGGCATTTGAAGATTTTGTATTGATGGTACATACCTGCATGGCCAATTCCATCTTGCTCCAATATTTAGATAGACCCTAGGCATTGTGATAAAGTAGTCCATTATGCTGCTAATGACAAAAACATGTCCAGGATGTTTTACATGTCCAGTGAAGGCATCGGTTGTTCTATGCCTGTCTGTTTTCTTCCTAGGCTAGCTCTACCCTTTAGTGATAAATCATACTGATATCATGAAGCACATGTTACTACTCTCTGCTTTCAAGGACAGGTATTTATGGGTTTTCTTTCTCCTCCATGGGGAAGGAACATAAAAGGTAATGCCAATACAAACACTTTATATGTCTTACTAAAGCATAATAAACTAGGGTGCTTGTTGAACTTTAGCTTTAATTGAACACATTCTGGTCTAGCTAGCAGTGAGCCCTCAATGAACAGTTTCTGAATGTTTTCTGATCTTGTATTTGAAAAGGTTGTACAACTTAACTTGAACAATTTGGCTTGTTTACTAATTTGTAGAAGAATTAACTCAAAATGTCACGTGTGTGAAAAGTGAAATATTTTAATAATGTATTACTAATTCAGCTGATAACACAACCCTGCTATCTTCACTCCGAATTATTTTTCTACTCAGTCGTAGCCCCTGTGGCCGCCTGACTACTTGCTCAATTCTCACATACAGGAATGGCTGAAAGACTCACATAAACTTGGTATGTCTTCCTTCTTTGGCATCAATTTAAAACCAGTGGTGTATCTAGAGTCAGACAAATGTCTTCACCACTGGGTTTTAAATATATTAAGAGACATGCTCCAGCAGCATACAAGAATCCAGCCTCCTGGGTTCTCACTGGATTTCATGGCTTCTCTGGAATGTCTAGCCAACCCACTCTGGCACTGTCTTTGGGCAGGCGGCCCTCTGATCCTCTCCTCCTACAAAAAATTCACCCTCTCTTATTTCTTCATAATCTATTAGTTCAATTGACATGTTGGCAGTTAATTTATTTTTTCTGTTTGTGAATTGATTTTTAAAAAAATATTTTGAACTTCTCTTTGGGAGTACATTTTTAAACTAGAATCAGTCAGGATTTCACTTATAGTAATTTAAGAAATCAGTTTTCCTATTTTTAGGATAGTGTATACAAACAAATAAAAATGTATTGCTATTAGTGAAAATTAAGTATTACTAACTTATAAAATATAAAATAAGGCCCTGGCCAGGTGGCACAGTTGGTTGGAGTGCTGTCCTGTACACCAAAATGTGGGGGGTTCGATTCCTGGTCAGGGTGCATATAGCAGGCAACCAGTCAATGTTTCTCTCTCACATTGATGTTTCTTTTTCTCGTGCGTACGCACACACAAAAGCAATTTCTGAATATATCCTCTGGTAAGGATTAATATATATATATATATATATATATATATATATATGAAGTGGGCAAAATATTCACTAATATAAAATGCAAATGAGTTGATCCCTTGTTTGTTATTTAGTGATATAAGAGAGGAAAGGAAAAGCTAGCCTCATTTTTACTTGAATTAAAAAAACAGCAACAAAACTGAACAAAATATATCAAGACCAAAGCAATTTAGATTTTGGCAGAATTGATCTTCCTAGGTAGCAATAAAGAAGCATCATGGGGGGTCTTGGTGACACGATAACTTCATTTACTAATAATTACATGAAAATAGGAATGATTTGATACAGTGTTCAACCCATGGGTTTGTTTTTTGGGGAAAAATAAGTTAGATTCTATTTTCATAGTTTACACCAAAAAAGTCTAGGTAGCCTGACTGGTGTGGCTCAGTGGTTGAGCATCGACCCATGCACCAAGAGGTCACTGGTTCAATTCCCAGTCAGGGCACATGCCCAGGTTGTGGGCCAAATCCCCAGTGGGGGGCATGCAAGATGTGGCCAATTGGTGTTCTCTCTTATCGATGTTTCTATCTCTTTCTCCCTCTCCCTTCCTCTCTCTAAAATCAATAAAGAAAAAAAATTTTTTAATGTCTAGGTAGATCAAAGAGTGAAATATATAAAAAGAAAAGTGTAGAGTTACATATCTTTCAGGTTGTATTCATTAAACAGAATTGCTCTCTAAATGGGTAAATAGCTTTCTAAATTTAAAAGAAATGTTAGAAACTCAAGGGAAAATAACAGATTTAACAACATTAAAATGTTTAAAATCGACCTGGCCAGTTTGACTCAGAGGTTAGAGCATCAGCCCAAGGACTGAAGGGTCTCAGATTTGATTCCCGGTCAAGGACACACACACACACACACACACACACACACACACACACACACTCACACACATTTTAAAATCTATATGAGACAATAAACAAATTAAAAGACAAACTAGAAACTGGAAAAACCAACAAATATGATAAATGGTAAATATCTTTACCAAATAAAGGCCTCATATGTAGAAGCAAGGAAACAATCAAGGATCAAACAGAACAATGGACAAAAAGTATGACTAGATCATCTAAAAGATGAAGTAGCCAATCAACAGTCAGGAAAAACATGTAACCTCAATTATATTAAAATTAATATAACATACTATCTGCCCAATTCAAATAGTGTACATTATTTAAAATTAATCATAATAAGCAATTCTGGTGAAGGTACAGTAAGATGAATTCTTGTTCACTGTGGTGTGTGTACATTTTTAAGTTTTTTGGAACTAGTTCACTCATGGATACTAGTCATCTGAAAAGTGGTGACATTATTTGACATAAGGGTACCTTTAGGCTGATTATGTCTTTGTGGTGTTGTGTGGGCCATGCAGGAGGCAACCAATCACCTCTCTCTCTCTCTCTCTCTCTCTCTCTCTCTCTCTCTCTCTTTCTCTCCCCACCCCTTCTGCTCTATATAAAAATCAGTGGAAAAATATTTTCAGATTAGGATTAACAACAACAACAAATCCCCTCTGAATTTTTTATGACACTTGATAAGCTGTCTCAAAACTTAACTGGAAAATCATATGTACAGGAGTGTCCAGGAAAATTTTTAAAGAGCAATGAGGAAAGACGATTTTTTACAGAACAAAAGATACTGTAAAGATATAAAAATTTAAATCAAGGGTACATTAGAGCAATCAGATTCATAGAGACAGAAAGTAGAATGATAGTTTTCAGGGCCTAGGGGGGAGAGGGCTGGGGAGCTATTTCAAACAGGTACAGGGTGTTCATTTTGCAAGAAGAAAAAAGCTCTGGAGATGAATGGTGGTGGCTACACAACAAGGTGAATTACTTACCTGTACTGACCTGTGCACTTAAAAATGGTAAGTTTCATGTTATCTATATTTTACACAATTGAAAAAATTTAAAAATGTAAGTGTTAATGACAACAGAAATCATGTGGTATTATCACAGAGAAATTACAGCAATGGAAATATTAGGCCATGTATACAGTAGCCTTCATGCTGCTTGTCATATTGGGGCTTGCCCTGGCTCCCCACAGCCCAGTCTTCCACAGACACTGCGAATACCAGTAGGTGTACGGGGCCGTAAGGCTAGGTGGCAGGTTACTTTCACTGCAGCCTGGTACAGCTTGAGAAGTGTGCTGTTTCTCTGGGCCTCACTGAAAGCTAACAAGTTTTTGCTTCTCCAGAGATGCCCTATAAAGTATGTCTCTGTCACAAAATTAAGAGAATTATCTTTCACTCTAGAGAACTGTTCATCATAATTCAGACTACTGGACTCTCAGAAACTTTACTA